ATAAATAATCCTCCACACATGCCAGATCCCAGCCTTTCTGGGGTACAACAGACCTCATTAGTTCATAATGCCATCACAAAGACTGTTGGAAAAGAATAGCATGAAAAGTGAACAGAAGCAGAGATTGGCTAAGTCATAATGATTTTGACCTTCATCATTTTAAAACCCTGTCCATCTCTGAGACTAAAACTAAACGTTCAATGCCATTTCCAAAAGCCTTAACATAATATGTGTCACCCAAAGAAAGTCTCAAAGGCAGGAATGACAAAACCGTTTCTGAAATTAGGCTACCCTTATACATTCCCTCATGAAAGCCTATTCCAAACCAAACAATACTTTGAAAAGCCAAGAGCACTTTGCTCTCTCTCACAGGTAATTGCTTTCTGTGACAATATATTTCTGAAAGGTCCAAATTGCACTGCAGTCATCACTTTGAAATACATATTGCAAATCAAAATGCAAAGTAGTTGCAATGGTTCCCTTCTAGACTGGGAACTGAATATCAAAGCCCAATTCCTGTGCAGTATTTCAGTTCTAAAAGAATATGAAAGATGGTGGTATAATAAAAAGTAAGCATCACAAACCAATTAAAAAAACTCCTCATTTTTTATTACCTACTTCTACTACTATCTGCTATTACCTTTTTGCAGGGGGGACGGGACTTGGAATTAAAAAATGAACTAACGAAGAGAAAAAAAGAACCACAAAGAAACCAAAACAAATCCCCCCAAAACCAGAAAGCAATTAAAAACTCTGCAGTCATGCCTGAGTTAATAACCAGCTGACATTTCTACAGGAAAATAAAAATGATAGACATAATACAGCAATGTCAATATTGTAAAATAATTCCACTCAACTGACCTGTAAAAAAAAAGGGGGAGCTGTTGACTGATTGAATTGTGATGAATTTATTATGAACATTTTGAGTTAATTTTTTTTAATTAAAAGAATGAAACAATTGAAAAAAATTTCACAGAACAACTTCAATGTATACCTGCTCTAAATATCTATTTCCACCAAAATTAGAATAAATTTATCCATTCCTTTGCTATTATAAATTCAAATGTGAAGACTAAATACTATAACTGCCAAATAACAGGGTTAGGAAAAAAAACAAAAGTGTCACAATTTCAACAGGAAAAGATTTCAAAGGAAAGTAAAGACTATTCCAAAGTACCTGTAATACAAAGAGCGACTTAAATCTTCTCCTGGATAAACACATAGAATCTCCCACCCAAAAAAAGAAGTATTAAAAATTATTAACAAATTTGTCCTGTATGAAACTGGAGGGAAAGAGTGGGAAAGGAGACTATGCAATCCTTTATTTAAAGAAAAAAACCCCAACTCTTACAAATAAAGGAAACCCTTGTGGGTCTGCCTCATTCCTACTGACAGACTGCTTATATCAGCTCATATGACAGGAGCCAGACCACCAACCATGAGGACAGAGAGTGAAGGAAAAAGAGTCAAGATAAATATGGACTCTCAGCTCCTGTGCTGCTGCAGAAGTTTGCCCTGCCTTTAAAGACAGATAGAAATCAAAGTAACCACCATAAGAACACCAAGTTGATTTACACTATGCCTTCACTTATCTATCTATACCCATATTTATTTTTTTAATCTACACAGTAATAGTTCTGAAATTTGAATTGAAGAGCTACAAAAACAACACTGCAAATGTAGGTCTAGCTTGCTAGAGATAACTAAGGCATTTTAAAGAATAAAAACACAGTTTAAGGATTCTATGCACAAGGCTTAAACCAGATGCCTTAAATCTGCAACATACCTAACTAGAATATGCAGAAAAGTATATTTAATTCAGTGCAATTGCACATACTTAAAACTTTTGTCTGTTTCATTATTGTTCTTTATGTGGGTCTGTGATTGAAAACTACCAGTATCATGTCCACCCTGCCTGTGGCATTTTAAAAATAACACCACTTTTTTCCTCTAGTGTAATATCAAGTAACCACCATGTTGCCACAAACTTCTCTGTTTGCACACCTTCCATCTAGAATGTTTTCTAATAGCAAACTATGTCTAGCAACTTCAGGGAGGATCTACCTGAAACTGCCTCCTAAGGAAAAGTTAAGTTTCTGACTTGACACCAAAGTCCCTCTTCCACAAATACAATGATTCCATCCTACCCTCTAGTGATCACCATAGAACAATCTAAGGACCACATGGAGGAACACAAAGGCTCAACAATAAGCAAGGAAACACAGTATAAACTCAGAAAAAAATTGTGAGACACAGAAAATAATTTTATAAGCTTTCTATATGATTAACCTGCCACTGTATAAGGCCTCTTCCAGTGCAGATTTGGATAACCTTGCCTCAGAGGAGGCTTCGTTAGGTACTGTAATCACAAACACAAGTATCTGCACTGTCACTGATTCATAAATCTCCCCTGTGCTGAGAGTGGAGATTAAACTCCCATATATACACGAGTTTAAACACCTTGAGAATGTGTGTTTTATTCTGAACTTCTGGTACACTTTGAAACACTTTCATACTCAAATTTATGTAACTGTATCAGTGTTCTAAGAATAGAGTTAAACAGCAGTTATTTTTGGAAGTTGCCTAGGAGGATCCTTCACATCGAAACTATTTATTTATTTCCTGGAATAGATACTAGGTGACATGATAGAATAAACTGTTATTTTTGGAATGTCTGATCTTTTACGTATTTGAAAAGGCATAAAGATGAGGCCTCTGAAGAAAAATAAAAATGAGATAGAGGAATTAGTGAGTCACAACAGGTGTGAACTTTTCAGTGTTTCTCTATGCTGCCATTCTACAGAGCAGAGCTGCTCTTTGGGCGTAAGATGGAACAAAACAAACCAAGCACAATCACAACAATCTATCACTAGACTATTTCAAAAGGAAATGAAACAATAATAGGGAATTATTATACTCTAAATATATCATATCTTACCATGCCCTATGTGCAAAAGGTACAGAACTTAAATTGAAATGAAAGACAAAATAATTTATCTTACAATTTCCTACCTGCCAAAGTAAAATGTATTTTTTAATATAATCGCACCAGCTGTTGAATCCTACCCATCCAAATAAGTTATGCATGCATATTGAAAATTGAAAGGAGCCACAAATTATTTTGAATAGGCAACAGTCCTAAATAGAGATAGAAGTATAGAGTTTTTAAGCAATAACTAAATTTATTAATGATTTAAGAGAAAGTGTGGGGCCCAGAGCGATTATACTTAACTCCATATAAATAAAATCAACCATAGATTACATTCTAAGTTCATTATTTAAAAAATAAAAAAAAAATCAGAAAAGTAATAGAAGAACTTCAGAAAAGGGAAATATGAAAAGCAACAAAGTTATTTTTCTTTTGCTTGTATATTACAGAAAGATCCTGAGCAACAAGTAAATTTCAGAATATCAAATCTGTTTTTATGAAGCACTGAGAAGCAATGTTTCTCAGTATTGCTTTTAGGAAATATAAAGACAAAGACATACATACTATTTGTTGCCTACCAGCTCTGCTTCTTTTGGGGTATTAAACAGATATAGGGAAGGTAGAAAGAATTACAGAACACTGCAAACACAGCAGAAAGAAATACAATTATCTGATCTGTTTACAGTTTGTCCTGCAGCTTAAGAAATGAACCATATTCTTCTCATGTTATAGGACAGAAAGATGCATCATGTGAATGCACAAGCAGATCAGATCAATTTTTTCTTAATTTGCAGCTTCACACTCCCCTATTGTGTTTGAGGTATAATATTAGCCTTGTTGAAAAGAGACAGATTTTTAGTGTGTTCTTAAGCACTGAAGTGCTGGATCACCCTATAAATCTGCGGTTACACCGCAGCTACAATTTTTTTACAGGAATTTTGCAGGATTTATACTGAAGTAAGAGCAAACACTACAGGATCCTATTTATCACCTTCACTTTTCATCACTTTCAGGCTGAGAATAATAATAGCAGTGATAAACTCCAAGCTTTAATGTATCTCACACGGTAACTAAAATTAAAACATGAACTGATCACATTTTAATTATCAGCATTTGGAACTCTCTTCTGCATTCAAAAACTATTGCCTTGTCTAAAAATGGGAAATATCCAGGAAGGGTTGGTTAGCAGTTGTATAAGAAAATTCTAAAGTATTTCTCATTAATATTTAAAAGCTTACAGAAAATATGTTATGAGACTTTCTAGAGTCTTGTCCTTATCACTACAAATAAGAATAAAATAGAATAAAAAATACATCTCTATTGGCAAAACAAGAAAACTCATTTTTAAAGGTATGAATATCACTTTCTTTGTCATGGAAATGAAGCTACTTAACATGCTGCATTAAACAAACTAATCTGAAATATAATTCAGCAATGTTTAGGTTGAAGGTAGGAATAAATTATATGACACTGCCCTAACGAAAAGAAGCTTAGGATACATTTTGTGAGAGCACGTGAGGAGGAGACTGATTCATCCATGCAGTCACTCTACTGAGACATGTCACAGTGTCAGTCTTCTCACTATTTTGGTTTTTTAGTTATCAGAGAGAGACTCATCTGAGTTATCCTCGTTTCTCTACTTCCTTTATAGGATTTCTCGAGTAAAGAAAATAACCACAAAAGTTCTAGACTAAGATCAATACCCAGAATAGCAGCCTTGAAGGACTGAGAAGTAATTTTACATGCCTTATCCTGAGGAAATTTTTTTGATTACAGAAAAAATCCAGTAGTAAAAAAAACCAACACATTTCATTCACAGGGTTTTTAAATTAGTAAAGATGACAATAAATAATCAAAAATCACTACTGCTATTACATCTGGTGAGACGAGATGTGAACAATACCAAAAAGAAAATACAAAAGGCTCAAGTATAAAGCTTGTCTCAACAGTATTCATTCTTATGAGTAATGTATCTTATCACAACATCCACCAAACATCTGGCTATCAGTGACACTTAATATTTTTTCAGCAACATTCGCTATTATTATTCTGTTATAAGCTGGAAACCTACCTTCTTTGTTCTTCTCCATGTTCACCCGAAGGGACTGTCAAACATTCATCCATGTGACCATGCAATAACCTCAGAACATCCCCTCCAATCAGGTATCCTTGAATAAAGGGAGGAAATATAGTGCCTCTGTGTGAACTCAGCAACACATAAAACTATAGTTAAACTATAATAAATACTTTTTATTTGTTTCATTTTTTTTTCTGTTGGCATTTTATGTACTTAAAAAAGAGAATCAGAAGAAGGGGAAGATATCTCATACCCTCAGGAGCCAGTTGAACATTTTCAATTGAGAAAAGCTCCAAGTCAGCAAGTAGCAAAGGTTGGATCAGGATATAGAGGAGATGAGACCCTACAGAGTTTCCACTCAGAAAAAGACTGAGCCAATGGAAACAAGGAAGTTCCCTCAGACTACAACATAAGGTGGGAAACTTCCATCTTACCTACTCACTTTGCATTTGATTTACGGATTCCAGTTTATATACTAACATAAAAAAAGACTGATTCAGTTAGTTCAGTACTTTTAAAACTGTTTTTTCGGAGTACTGGGAGTTTTCTGTGATAAAAACTTTTGGGACAGTCAATTCTAAGCTCTGCTTGACAGAAGATGTGAAGATTCTCAACCAACAATTATCATTTATTTGGATTCCAAAAAGGAAACTCCTATACTGCCAGTACCTCCACTGCCCATGCAAGCTCAGAGTCAAACACTTGGCTTTACAGTGTATATGTGTGTTCGCAAATTAAGCTGCAGAGCATACACACAGCATCACAATATTTGAAGTTCCAGGATATTGCAGCCAGCAGCTGAAAATAAGGCCATAAATCTAACCAGTAAAGATGTTAATAAAACAGAGTTTTTTTTCATCAGTCTTTTTGCATTAGGATGTGACATTAAAAAGAAAGAATTTTGTTATCCTACAAATACTGTATTATAATCTAATACTAAGACTTAGTAGATTTTAAGCACAATTCAACAGTATTTTTTCAGTCCGACAAGAGAAATGTAAACCCTTGTTTCCTGAACTCACATTCCCTACTCGCTAAAACTGGTTAATATAAGATTCTGCATTTGAGTTGGATGTGGTAACATAATTCCTTGGGCTTACTGTTACAGCAAAAGATTTAAAAAAAATAATATTGTTGGAAAAATATTTTGAAACAATGCCAAGTCATGCTGTGCAGTATGAGATCTGTACAAGGAAATGTTGTTGAAGATTCAACAGTTACACTGTACACATTTCACAGGTTTATTTTGAAGACACATGAAATCTTATTCCTGAATATATATTGGGTAATATTTCAGGATATATTTTTTTAAACCTTTGAAATCAATATCAAATCAGTATTTACATGGAAAATTTCAGCACTGAATTTTTAAATTCTTGATTTTTATACAGAGGAGGACGTCGAGATAACAGTGGTTACATATATTAATTTTAAATGGACCTGAGTCAAAATAATTTTGGAGACATTCTGCCCTGAGTAGCTTTTTACGTTTTAGTTTGTTTTTAAAGAGGCCTCCATTCACTTCATAGTACAGAATTAGCAGAATTACTTGATCTGACTTTAAAGCTGTGTTTTGACTTCAATAAATTAACTCCTGCATAAGCTTTTTTTTTTTTTTAAGTTTTACAGGTATGCATGCAAAAAAGAAATTATATTATTTAACTACTTCCAATATCCCAGTTCTTCTTACAAACTAATTATCCATTGTTTTCACTTCAAAGTAATTTCACTTAATTTAATAATCTATTTTTAATGGGAAGTTTTGATTAAGAGAGGGTATAGTAATATATTCCCATATATTACTATTTTATTTATGAATATGAGAAAGTATTTTACAGATATTAATAAAAAGAGGTTTATTTTCTTCTTCCTTCTTTTTGAGGTAATTTTCTGCAGTTTGGCTACTGTTTCAGTGAGGAATAGAGAGTAAGGGCTTATACACTAAGTCAGACTTACTCTGCCTTCACAACAGGACTACCTTATCACAGGAACATTTACCAGTTTTGCTATAATAAGGTCTTTGGTCTAATCCTTTTTGACACTAGCCAGCTGATCTTTTCTAGAAAACATAATGCTTAACAAAGATAATCTCTGTACTTGAGAAAAGTGAAAACAGAAAGGCATAGCAACAAAGAACAAGCAAATACACAGAGAAATGAACAGCTAGGAAAATTATATTACATCATTTTCACATTATTTCTGGGGGGTACAAGTACACAACATAAAACTGTATCTTGCTTCTCTCAGAGACAGGCAGGTTTCACCAGTGAGGTTCACCAGGCAAAGCTGTGGCACAGCACAGATCTGGGGTTATTAACAAGAATGACACATCAGTGCTGGCAGCACTGGGAGGACAAAGAGAATGGAGTTTATAGGAAGGAGCAACAGGAAAAAGGTTTTCTCCTCAACAGAAAGGTTTTTCTCCTTGAAGTTTCGGACACTGTGAAGCAATGCACTAGCATTTTTTTAGTAATGATTTGGGCCAGAAACCATGTCAGAGAATCTGAATGTGCAAAGTGATTCTCAAATGCAAAACCAAAATGAGCATATAGAAATGAGATTTTGGCAGTGCTGTCCCTAAAATCTGAATGACAAAAGTTGCAAGAACATTCCCCAACTGAATTTTAAAATATGTCAGATAAAAATAACCGATGTGAAATTTCAGTGTATTGCCTTTTATAAAATAGTATCTTAAAATCCCAAGATATAAGTAAAGAAAGGACTTGCAGCTTTAGCCTTCTTAAGGTTCTATTACAACACCCACTCAAAACAATCAGTCTGTAGAAAACTAGAAATCATTAGGCTTTACGTTGTGACAGACTTTTCAGAAAAAGAAAACTGTTTTTCTGCTTCTCTGCGGAATCAGCACGGCATAAATTCCTTGTCCTTTCAATATCAAATAATTCATTAAGAAAGCTCCTTCCTAATTCCTTAATAAAATAAATAATTCTTGAAAGCTGTCCTCTTTCTGTCTTTCCCCTCGTTTTTTTTCCCAACCATATGTTACCCACAAAACCATTCCCCATCTTCATTCTTAGGATTTCACATCCTGCTTCCAAGCCTCTTGACCGTTTTTTAGTCAGTCTCAGAAACATGTAATCATGACTTCATACATCAGAATAATATTAAGTAAACCAGGACCAAAAGCCATCTAAAAAAAAAAGTTATGAATGATATCATATCTTTATCAAAATGAGACTTGAATGAGCTGTTCATTTTTCAGTAGAAATATGTAGAAAATTATCACTTCAACTTTCAATATAGCCTCCCCTCTGTTTTCAGAATATTTGTATATTTATTTGTTATTCTGAATATTTACATAAGAGAAACCCACTTCCTAACTTGGCATATTAATTTGATTTTTGAAGTGTTTCATTTACCATCAGTCTTTTAATAACGAAAGTTGAGTCAATCTTACCTTGGGCAACTTCACTTCCTGAACTGATCGGTGCTACACTCCAGAGCGTCTGCTGGAAGGCCGCATCAACATGTAAGCTACCATTGCCATAAGACAGATGCTAAAACCAGGAAAGACAGAGGCTTTTGTTTGGGGTTAATTAAAAATCTCATTACAGTATGCAATAATAGTATCAAACATTCTCTTCCTTCTTTCATACATAATTTTTTCCCACTGACTGTGTAAGTAAACGCAAAGTTAGACCTAGGTACTCTTCAAGGGACATTATAAATAAAGCTAGAAGAGTAACAGGATATTTGCTTCCAAGAAACATACAGGAACAGTACAGAACAGTCAGCTGCTTGGGTTCTTAGACCACAGCACGCACTCTGAAGAGATTATTGTTAAATGCTGCAGCGTTCTTACATTGTGTTCTTCCTTCTTTCAGGGGTTTTCCAGAAACTCTGAATATTGGGATATGACATTAACCTGTATTTCAAGTGTGACTCACTACTTGAATATTTCTTGTAGGCCACTGGCTTCCTAAAACTGCCATCAGATCAAAGAAATTAGGTAAGCAAACTGCTGACTTTGTAAGGTACTTAAGAGAGTTTACAAAATATATTTTTGCACAAAGTTTTCAGGATCCAAGCAAATCTGAAATGATCTTTCCCTGAAAGACTCTCTTCCTATGGAAGTGTTCAACAGGTGACCTTCCTTTGCTCTGTTACTCCCTATCTTTTGCCAGTGTCACAGGTATTTACAGTAAGTGTAAATACAGTAAGGTGCTTTCTCTTCTCAGAATTCCTTGTGTGTGTGTTTGTTTCAGGTAGTTCAGTGACATTATTTTCTCAGAAATTCTTATCTCAAAGCCTATTATATCGCATCCATACAAAATCCTTTGTCCCACACCCTTAGTCAGTTCCTTTGATACACTGTCAATGTCAAACAATATAAACTTATATAAGATTATGGAAACAAGTGTTCTGTGAATAAGCAGCTCTTTCGAAGTATACTGTTTATCCTTATTAGGTAATAATTTTTCAAGTCCATTAACATTTAGACACTTCTATCAGAACTCTATTTTACGCTACTGGACAGTAACTGTTTATAGAGTAGTATATGGTCTCTGTTTTCTGTGACAAAAATCAACAACTTCTGGGTAAAATAATTAATGATAAAAAAGACAAAAATGTCAGTGGAGGTCAGAAGAAGACAGATTCCCAATGACACTTGCAGAGTTCTTCTGTCTTCCTACCTGCACATATTCTAGCTGTACAGCAGCACAAGAAACAGCACGTCAGCTCATTTAGAAGGCTCCCATAACAGTCAATGGCATACAAATAAGACATCTCACAAAAGTCAAGTTTACACTGTACCAGTGTTGCTCAGCACATGCAATAGAGAACATTAATGAACAAACCAAGTTTTTGCTTCTTGTTTTGCCCTTACTGCTGTTAAATATAATAGTGAATGGCAGAATAGGGTGGAAGATTAGACTGTAGCACAGCTCCAGTCCCACTTTTGCCCTGTGGGCCTTAATTTCGTTAGGTTTCCTCTGAGATCACTACACTGATCCTGTTAGTGACAATGAGGAATTCAACCATTAGAGCAAAGCAGGAATATTACTTTTCAAGGAAGACTTGTCATTCAGTGTGACAAAAGAGGAAGAGGAAAACTCCTTTGTCATTTAGATCTGCAATCAACAGAGCACTTGTAACAGTGTGCTTCCTACATGTCAATGAACTTGTTTTCACACAAAATTGTATCAGTTGAATTAGTGTTCTGTTTTTATAGACAGGACACTGAACAAAAACAAATTGCTGATATCTCTCTTCGAAGACCTGCCAGTTTTATCCATTCATTTGACTTAGTTGCAGCTCTGATTATAATCCAGATGTCTCAAGTTGAGTCACCAGGGAATTGTAACTTAAAAAAGTATGGTTTACATTACCTAATACAACACATGACCACAACAGCAGAGGCATACCTCTGCAATTCCCTTCTTCCCTTCACTTCTCCAGGTTCCTTGTGGTATCCTTAAATTTACAGTTGGCAGGTGTCCTACCATTTACAATTCCATCGACTTTTGTGTTCATCCCCAGGAACCATTCATAGAAAACAATAAAAGGGAGCTTTAACTACATAGATAAAATAGCCTCTCGACAGATATCCAAGGATTCAGTTATATCCAACGTATTGACAAAATCCCCAAAGTTTAGTGATGCCAGTTATTCATCCTGGCATAGCCTAACTTTTCAGTGCTATACTTTAACAATCTCAGTGCTGTTTTAAAGCAATCTGCTCTTTGTCTGTGACTTCATGGTTACAGGCTGCTTGGTTTTGTACTTTCAGCACAATAAAGCTATCCAAATGAAATAAATTCCGTAATGCAATGTCCAGGATGTGGACATGACACTCACACTGATATTGAACAGTCTCCATATGTACTACACAGATCTTTGCTGGTTGGCATATCACAGTATGTGGCAATAGAAGCACGTTACCATCATCGGTGAGGACCACCTGCATAGCACATCTTTTGGGTATGCAGTAACAACACATGCAAAGTAGAAATATGTTGGGTTCAGGAATCCTGTTGTCTATTCCAATCTTGATATGGGCCTTTCCCACTATAGGCAGGTTGTCTAAATCAAATATTTTTTTTTTCTGCACTGGCGTCCAGACTCAAACAAAAGAAGCTAGATTTGTCTTTCCTACTTATAGACTGATAATCCCCTAAACCAGCTCTTTACCTCTTCTCAGAATTAAATCATGCTATTTTATGAATAAGAGTTAACACTACAGTCTACAGGCAGTTTCTCAAGGATAAACTCCCAGACTCATATCTCTGAGGATACTACAGGTTTCCCAACTGAACTTAATGGCATATTTTAAACTCTGCACTGCTCTGCAGAAAACTAACATAATCACAACTCAGTTCCTAGGTCTTCAAGAAGAACACAGTGTATTTAGGCTCACTGAAGAGCTCAGAAATCAGATGGTAATTTCCACAAGAACCCTTCAGCAGTGATTGCAGCAGCATAGCTGAATTTACAATAGCTCTGAATAACTAGATGATATATTTTAAATTTCACAGTCTGCATGAAAATTTCTGTTCTCTGAAAAATGCATGTGTACAAAGAGAAAAATGTAAAGAAAAGAAAACTTTTGCTTTAGGTTTCCTCTTGGCTAAAGTGTGCCAATACTGACAGTTTATCTATCAATATGTATTTCCATTTGCAGTTTGATGACTCTTCCTTCAATCTCAGGCCATTCCAAACAGCGAAAATAACATAAGAAAAATAATAAAGGAAGACTATTTTCTTCTTCTACTATTTGTTGGATTTTGAGAACCATGTACAAAGCAGGTACAGTCTCATTTAAGGAAATTCCCAGGATGCTTAAGTACTGCACGCAACAGCAGCATCAACCACCCTCCTTCAGGTTTGTTAGTACCAGCAGTACAGGAAGAGATGGAGGTTATTTTCTTTCCCATACACAGAGACTCTGACAGCCCTTGCTACTTCCCCTTTCTTGCTAACTGACTTGAAAAAACTACAATGTACAGGACAGAAGAGCAGTTTCAAACCATTTAGGCACCTATCCTCAACGACCAAAGAACCTGTGAGATGGTCCAAGCCTTGAATAGACACCATTCCCACAACAGGTACACAAGTGACAACATGTGTATCAAAGTGTGTGTGGCAGGGGGAGGGGAGGGATTTATATGCTTCTTTAGTTTTCCTTGGTCAGTCTGGAAGATGTTCACACTGGATATATTTCTAACTTTAGAAATAAGTAAAAAAAAATGTAATTGTATCTATAAAGGATACTAAAATACTAAACAAAACAAAACAAACTAGACTCCTCTTCCTTTTTTTTCCTTTTTTTCAAAAGCAAAGAGAATTTTTTTCACTGACAAAGAAAGGCAATTGCCAGCAATATACTAATCAGTTCTCACCCCTCCACTCAGCATAAAAGTACCATCAGCAAAGCGAGAGTAGAAGCTAAAACCCACAGATACTCAGAAATGGCCATTACAACTGAGCCATCGAAAACCATCTACTTAGCTACCACATAGCTGAATATGGATAATTGCAGATATATGGCAGAAAAGCATAAGGAACCCACAGAGTGTAGATAGGGGGAGTCTGCATTCCCCTTCTTTATAATAGCTTTCCTTCTGCACAGTAACCACAAAAAACCTGAAGCATATCAGCTACTATGCTTCCAAATGATTATCATTTTGTACAATTAGTCACAAAAGCTTTCATTACCAAAATATTAATTTTACAGAAGCAAGCATCAAAAGTTAGGAAATGACAAACAAAGAACCCTATGGAAAAAGAATGGCCTCTGGTGAACAGATCATATTACAGTCTTTAATGGCATGATCCTTTACAAGTTTTTCCTCATGTGCTACCTTATTTTATATACAGAATAAACAAGTTCACTTTGTCAACAACTGCTCAGTGCTTTGTTTTCCCCTCAGTCTTCAGTCTGTAGTCTCACAGTTTATTCAATACAGTCAATTCCTCCAAGTTTTGAAGAGAGAATTATTAATTTTCTTATAGGTTTTTCTCTTGCTACCAATTACAGTATTTCACAAAACACAACAAAAATAACGAATTAATTTTCTCAAAACCCCAAAGAAGTAGCATTATAGCCCATTGTCCAATGGGGCATGGCAGCACATAGATTACACAAAGAAATTTTCATTAATCTAAGATGCCCAAATTAAGGTGACAGGGACCTTTTTAATTCCTGCTGTAGACTGCATTATATGTAGTTTAATATTCCAGGCAAATCTTACATTCACCTCAGTTGCAGGTATCAAGACTGAGTAAGTCTGAGACTCTAACCTCTAGCAAAAGGAGGAGACAAGAGAGTCACAACTCCAGTAAGGAATATTCCCAGTAAGGGATGAGCAGTGACCTCTGCAAAGCAAGCCTAGTATACAACAAGATCTGCTCAGCAAATTTCACAGCAGAGTCTGATACAGAATCTAATCCTCTGGCAAAATAATTACTAAGCATCATACCATCAATCTTTCAAATGCAATTTCCAGCTCAAAATTTCATCTTCAAAGTTGCTTCATTCCACAGTTTCTCTGCTGCT